AGCTGGAACGGACCCTGTAAACCCAGTACAAGTACACTGTCATGGAGCCCACCCAAATTGGTGATGAGACAGCAGGCTGGGTCAAGGTGGGCAACCAACTTCCTGTACAAGAAGGCCATGATGGCTGGCACTGCCCTTAGGTTATTCCCAGTGTGTCTCCCTGCCTGTCGGTGTGCTGAGCTTGGCCTGCTGCGCCCTCTATGGGATCTCTTGGCAGTCTGACCCTTGCTGCAAGTACCAAGTGAAGGATGATGCCTATAAACCATCGACTCCTCTGCACACACTCACCTCCTCCACCTCAGAACCCTGGCACCCCAGTGTCCTGGAAGGACAACCTGCACAGAAAGAGACTGCACAACGTGATAGCACTGGCCGCCTTGGTGTACTGTGTAAAGAAGATTTATGAACTCTATGCCGTATGACTCCGGTGAACAGGGAGAGGAACAGAGCCACCCAACCCACAAGAGACAAGAGGATGCAAAGGATTTGGATTCCCGCACCAACACTGTTTGCTCTGTGAGACAGCAGAGCCTGGGATGGTGTTTGGTTGAATATTTGTTATTTTTTACAAGAGAATACAAATCGGGGCTGGGGATTTAGCTCAGTGGCATAAGTGCCTGCCTTGCAAGTGTGCGGTCGTGAGTTCGATCCCTGGTACCGATAAAAAGAGAGAGAGAGAGAGAGAGAGAGAGAGAGAGAGAGAACACAAATCTTTGGTGTCCCAAGGGTTTTTACAGGTTACTACAAAAATGTGATTTCCATAACCCTGGAGGGAGTCCGGGGCTATGACAGTCTAGCAGTGGACTGTGGGTAGAAGCCAATGATGCTGAACTCTATGCACACTTGGGGTCTCTAAGTATACTGTTTAACTGTACCATTTGGAGCCAACCAGAAGCTATCAACCATTAAAATTATGAGCATTTCAAAAAATATCTCAGAAGGAAGGGCTTTCTTCTCAAGAAGACTGTGAAATAAGCCAGAAATAGAGATTAAAACTAAGAATGTCCACAAAACCTGGATGGACAGAACTCCTCTTAAGCCAAGCACAGTTTGTGCCTTACATGTGAATGTCAGTTGTATACCATCCAGTGGACCTCCCCACAGGGGCTTCCTGCCCCACCACCAACATGTCTAACATAAAGGGCCAAGAGAGAGGCATCAGTATCAAAATCTGAGGGATCTAGAAACAGGAAATACGTGCACCTTCCCTTCCAGCTGCTGTGTGAGGCTCGGGGGCAGAGTGGTAGTCTTTAAGTGGAGGTGGTTGGCTGAGGCGCTGGGGAGCAACCATCAGGTAGGCTGGTCACCAACACAACACAGAACTCAGTCACTGAAGATGGCCCTAGAAAAATGTAAATTACAGACAGTGCACATGGGCACAGAAATGAGGAATCCATCTATTTTTCCCTTAAATAGTTGGTTCTTATCCAGCTCTTCACCTATGAATGTTTTCTACTTCCATTTAAATCAGTGTACTAAAATCAAAAGACACAGCTAGTTACCTTCTGGGCTATTTTATCAGAGTATCTAGTACAGAGGTTTGTGTGCTATAAGTGCTGCATGGACACTGAATCAGTTTCATTCGCAAACATTCATTGCAAACACATGCTGAGCTGGTTTGAAATGCGCTGTGGTATGATGGTGTTTTCCAGAAAGGATGTGTCAGGAACTTAACATCTAACACAGTAGCTCTAGGAAGTGGGGCCTAATGGCGGATGTTTGGGCGATAGAGGGCTTACCGTTGAGAATGCTTTAATGCCAAATATACTAGGGTTTAAAGCCAAGAGTTTTCTTTCTAAAGTGATCTCTCACCTTTTCCTGTCGTACCATGGATGTGGCAACAAGAAGGCCCTTACCAGATGTGAGACCCTTGATATGGGACTTCTTAGCCTCCAGAACCGTGGAGGAAGGGACGTGAAAAGGTATTTTGTTTGTATTTACTAGGTACAGTACTCAGTCAAGGCAGGACAAAACTGAGTAAGACAACGAGATAAGCAAATATCCAACACTGAGCAAATTTTAGTGTCTCATTTCTTTATGAATCTTTGGAGTTCACTCAGAATTCCTGAGATTCCAGGAATGGAATACCACATGTGCTTGGATTTCAAAAAGTTGAGACAAGATTAGGCAGTGGCTAAAATTACCTTGTCCCTGGACTGGTATTGGAACAAAATGATCTGGCACCAAAGCAGGTTTTCGATGAGTTCAATTTTAATGTTGCTTTTGTGTCTTAGTTAAGTCTACCCAATGGATGAGTAGACAAGTCTGCATAAATTCAAGTGTACAGCCAGGTAGAAAAAGTGCAAGCGAATATAAAATAGGCTTTGTTTCTCTCTTTTTTTCTTTCCTTAGTTTTTATTTAGTTGTTTTAGGCAATTTTTAGTTTTCAGAAAAAGAAAAATGTTATGCCATCACATAAAGCAATTGTAGAAAGGAAGCAAACACTATGTCACCTCTTACTTTTGTTTTGATCTTTTATGTCATCAGGATGAAGGATCTTGAACTTCAAGCTAACAGGTGAAAAAGTGAAGAGGAAAATGCAGTACAAGCTAGGTAAGGAGACACACAAATGGTTCTTTTCATACAATCTTGTGTTTTCTTGTGTATTCTAACCCCACCAAATTACATCTCAGAACCCTAACATAATTATGTGACTACAAATCGGGCAGAAATCCTTGAAAAATTAGAAAGAGTAGAAAATGTGGATCAAAAATATCCACTTGATTTTTTAAAAAAGGAAAATAAAGTTGATCTTGGAAACAGCAGAGCAATAAAGTTGATATTAACCCACAGAAAAATCCTTTGAAAATAGGATTTTAAAAATGCTGATCTCATCTTCTCTCTTAAGAATGATAGTTGACATATAGATCAAGGACATGCAGACTTAACATACATTGAAAAAGCCCTTTACATTCAGAAGAGAAACAGTCAAAAGGTAGATTACATCACTGTATGGTCTACCAATGAATAGCCTGTATATAACCAATCTCAGAAAATATTGACCAAGTGCTTCAGGATTTTAAGTTTGGCCATACCCTAGTTAGTATATTTATCAACAAGGTTAGTACATAAGGAGAAAGGGTCATTGATTCTGCAGGTAGCATCAGGCTAAGAAGGAGAATCATCAATCTGAACCTCATCATCCCCTCAATGATGAGGGAATTAATGTAAAAAAAACTAAATCCTACACTGCATAAATCCTTAAATATAAATACAACAAAGTCACTAGAAACAAGTCAAATGATGCTAAAGTAATATACGTATATTACTTTACAAGAATACTTGTAATTCCAGTAATATACTGTTGAGACAGGATCACCAGACAAGCTGAACAGGGAGACATTTGCCTTCACACAGTTCACAAGAACAGACCCAGAAGTAATATTTCTGGTTAATCCCACCAGGGGCTTCAGGTTGTAGCCTCAGAAACCAGAGAGAGATTTTCATTTTCCTGAAGGCAGGGTAAACATTTATCATTAATCTTAAAGAGCTTATCTGTCAAGAAGAGAATGACATAATCATAAGAATTGAAGGAATAGGAACGAGGAAGAAAAGTAGAAAATCTTGTGCGAGTGTTGTGGAAATTTCATATCAAACCAAATGGAAAACGCTTTACATCTAGGAGTCGTAAGGCAATCATTTATTACATTGGTGGGCTGGTGGGACCAAGTCCAGATCACCAGCCCTGACTGAGAGTGAAACAGACATTTATACATTTTGTAAGCAGGAAGTACAAACGCTGATAGCAAGTTATCATAGAATTGGTTACATGAACCAAGTTGTATGTTGTCAGGCAGGTTTGTTCTGGGCAGGTTAATCAGAGGGGTTGTTTATTATAGCGTGGGAGAAAATAGGGAGGGAGCCAGGGCTGAGGGGGTGGTTGAATCTAAGCATGTCCTTGATTAGCTCATCTCAGTTGGACAGTCCTTGAAAATACAATGTTTATAGGTCAGGCAGCATAGATGGATGCAACTAATGAGTGAGGTTGGACTATCTCTAAACTGCACTCGATGTGATCAGTCAGGGTCAACCGAGTCTAGTAGGTCTAACTATATGGTGGGTTGGGTGAGCACATCTTGTCTTAACACAGTATCAGACTGTTGATTTTTAACTTTTCTGTGACATGAGAACAAGACTATGTGGGGAAAGAAAAGAGAGCTGTCTACAAATAACCTGAGGAACTGTCCTTGGAATGAGAAATTAGACCACTCCATGGGCCAAGGATTTAGCTCAGCAGCACAGCACCTGCCCTGGCAAGCACAAGGTCCTGAGTTTGATTCCTAGTACCAAAAGAAAAAAAAAAGGAAGGAAGGGAGAGAGAGAGAGAGAGAGAGAGAGAGAGAGAGAGAGAGAGAGAGGTGGAGGGGAGGGAAGGAGATGGGAAGGGGAGGGAAGGGAAGGGGAGAGAAGGGAAGGGAAGGGGAGGGAAGGGAAGGGAAGGGGAGAGAAGGGAAGGGGAGGAATTAATAATTAGATCAGTCCACAATGCCTGGGTGACTTAAGAAGTGAGACCCCTCTCCAGAAACCACAGGACTAAGGCTTAGACTCTGTTAAAGCATTTCTCCTAATCCTCACTGTTCAAAACTAGAATGAGTTGTACCATGAAGTGCAGTGTTTTTGCCAGTATGTGGCTAGATGGCTGAATCAGACATGGTACGTGCAAAAAGATGAGCAAATTCTAAGAAGTGGGTTTAAGACTTCAATTTCCCTACTATATAGAATACCCTGTAGTTTATTACCTTACACATAAGATTCATAATCTGACAAGGAAAGCAATAAATCCTAGTGTTCAAAAGTTCAGCCATGGCCCATTCGTACTTAAATCCTAATCGTATCTCTTACTTACTGAATAACTACAGAAACCCTGAGCAAGTTAGCTAACCACCTTGGACCAGTTTTCCCTTTCACAGCATGAGGATGATGTGAGTATCCAACTCATGAATTTGTCATGGTGATGGAGTTGATGGTGGAAGAAACACTCAGAAAACTGACAAAACAAAAACAGTAAAATTTTAAATTTATTGTTGTTTCTCTGCAGTCTGCTCATTAGAAATCTGAAGATTCCTCATTAGCAATACTGAGCAAAGTATGATATTCACCTGGGGAGGTAGGCGGGTATCATTAGGAAATGACCGGAGAGATTTTGGTGCCTTACAGTCGTTGCAAACATACAAAGAAATGCTGTATGCAGCAAAGAGACGCAGCTAGAGAATCTTCATCACTCATAGAGCCACATGAATTAAACACCAAGCTATCATGGGCAGATATTTCAAGGCACGGTGTTCTAGGAGGTTGATACAGGAAGCTCACAAGTTTGAGTCCAAGTTGTGCACTTAGAAACTTAGTGAGACACTGCTTCAAAAAAAATTTTTTAAAGGTGGAATGTAGCTCAGTACAAATCCTCCTTGGTTGAATAACCAACACTGAAAAAAATATATAAGCTGCTACCACATCACTGTGGTTAGCAAAAGCCTGCAAGATGGATCCTAGAACCTAGGGAGCAGTCTCTACTGAGGATGGCTCTGGCTTCTCGGGTTCCTCTCCCAGATCCACAATCCGGATGGTGCTTTCCTTCTTGGAAAGCCAGAAAGCAGCATAAACCGGTTCTGAAAACTTACAGTCGAACTTGTGAACCAGAGTCATGGCTTCGTATTCTACACCATAGAAGGCAAGAGTCCCTCCTGGGAAGTTGACATAGATGCCAAGCCTCTGGAAAGGACCAGCCTTGAGCGGGGTCTCTGTGTCGCTGTGCCAGGCTGTGTAGTCCTTCCCGTTCCAACAGAGGCTCCAGGAGAAGTTGTTTCCCGAAATACAACTATTGCGTTCCTCTCCTTTTCGGTCGATGCCTTTGCAGGTCAGGCCAACATAGGTGCCTGCCCCAGAGATCTCCACCTCAAAATAGTACCTGTGAAGGTACAGGCTCTGCTGGGACAGCACTTGGCGCCAGTGTACAAACCTGCTCGGGTGGTCTGGGTAGGGATGCTCCCAAGGGGTGGTGTTGGTGACCTTGCGATCATCCTCCTGCAGCCGTAGATACTTGTGTGCTGTGTCTGGGTCAAATGTGATGTCACATGCATCTGGGGAAATATGGAAGACAGGAGAATAGTTCAGGACCTGATGACATACTCATACAGAAAGCTTTAGATCCAGCTGGACTCCAAAACATGTATGACAAAACACCCGTGTCCCCATTCTCTGTCCTCCCCAACTGCACTTCTCCTAGGAACACAGGTGGACGGAGACCAGAAAATGAGGAGAACACAAGTCATCCTACTTCCTGCCAGCATGGAGCTTCCTTGGCATTGACTACATTATTACCAAGCAAAGTCATCAAAAATAAATTCATCTATTCATTCAACAAATATAAATAGAAAGCCAGGCACTATTCTACTGAGTATTAGTAAGAAATGGGATATGGGTGCTCATATGCCTACGTTTAAGACATTCATTCTTCCCTAAAAACATTTGACCCATAAATGTTTATTTGTTATGGTGAACCCATAAACATTCCTCCAACCAAACTCTCTTCTCGGTCCCAGAAAATGATAGCACCTTTATGCTCACCATTGGTCAAGTCAAACTCAAAGTAATTATTGACATTTTTCCCCCAACCTAACCTCTATCTCTCCCCAAACACAGTAGGCAGAAAGTAGTGGTAGCTTCGACCACTACTCCACGGCCCCTGTCTCAGCTCCCATCTAAGCCAAAACTAAATCTCACCTCGGCTAACAACAGGCCTTAGTAGTTGCCCATGGTAACAAGAATTCAAAAGAAAACACTAGGAATGTTATTATTCATAATAATACTCAAAAGAGAAGAGTTGTGATGTATAAAAATACTTTTACTGCAAAATAATATCAATTATAGAAAGCTACATTTCATATTTAATGTTAACAATAAAGGGTTTGGGGTTCTTATATGAATTATGTCTGTCTATAAAACATAAATAGGCTTTCTTTTTCAGGAAGCAGGAAAGAATAAAGGAAATTGTATAGAAGCCAAAAGATCTTAGGACAAAAATAGGAACAGGCGCAAGAGTTTTCACCAGCATCTGAGATCACACAAACTCTCACTGTCTCTCTCTCTGTCTCTGTCTCTCTCTGTCTCACTCTCCATCTTTCTGTCTCTCACTGTCTCTCTCTGTCTCTGTCTCTGTCTCTCTGAACAGAACTCTGTTTTTCTGTCTCTATCTCTGTCTGTCTCTCTCTCTCTCTCTCACACACACACACACACATACAGAAAAGCCAGGCAAAGTTTGGATTCCCAGGACCCTTTGCCAGGAGATTAAAAACTCATGGACTTGTTGACTATCACAAAGTACTTTTAAATTTTAATTTTTCATTAACAAAAATTGTATATATTTATGATGTACAACATCATGTCTTAAAATATGTATATATTGTGAAATTGCTAAATTACACACATCACTCAAATATGCCATATGTATATCTTTTTTTGTGATGAGAACATTTAAAACCTACTCCTCGTCAATTTTCAAATATTTAATGTCTTGCTGTTAACTATAGCTATCATGTTGTAAGAAAGATCTCTTGAATTTGTCCTATTATGGAATACAGATTAGAAATACAGTAGTTTTTACAATGGTAACAGATAGCATTCAGAGGCTGAGGCAGAAGGATCACAGATTCAAGTCCCTTCTAGGCAAACTTAGCGAGACCCTGTCTTCAAAAAAAAAAAAAGGCTCGTAATATATAGATGTAGCTCAGTGATAAGGCCCTGGGTTCAATCCCTGGTATGGGCGGGGGGGAGCTAGCTGACAGCCCTGCTCAATATCACACAATGAATCTGATCAAGCCAGTCCATTTTAGTAACTAGCCAGGACTCTTCAAAATGCCAGGGTCATAAAAGGCAAAGAAAGACTGAGGAACTGGCTCAGACTGGCAAAGACTAAGGAAAAATGGAAACACAAATACTCCTGGATTGGATTTGGGGCCAGAAAGATTGACCTTGAGCTAGGCAAAGTGGTGCACACCTGTAATTCCAGTTACTTAGGAGGCTGAGGCAGGAGGATAACAGGTTCAAAGACCAGCCTGGGTAACTAAGTGACACTCTGTTGAAATAAAAAGATCTGAGGATGTAGCTCAGTAGGAAAGCCCTTTGCCTAACATGCACAAGGCCCTAGTCTCAATCCCCAGCATCACAAAATACATAGGGGGGAGAACACAGACAGAATAATTGATAAAACCTAAATAAATTCTATAGAGTAGCTAATAGTATGGCAGTGTATTCACTTCCTGGCTTTGATCACTGTACTGCGGCTGTATAAGGTGTTAACATTTGGAGAAGCTGAGAGAAAAATACAGAGAAATTCTTTGTCTAGCTTTTTCAATTACTTCAGAGTGAAATTCATTTAAGTAAATTTTAAAAAGCGTATCATTTAGAGATAGACAAATAGTTGCAAGACTTTGAAGCCTCTTAGAGAAACAGTGGTTCTTGCTTCATTCTGCAAAGCATTATACACCGACACCAGCAAGAGGGGAAGGGGAATCTGTACGCAACTTACATTGGAGAAACTCTTTCCTGGTTCTGGGCTCAGGCTTTGAGGCTCGGTACTTGGGCTGGACGATGGCAGACACTTGCGTTCTGATGTCATACTCTAGAAAATCAGAGTTGTGAATGCACACCTGTCCAAGCAGTCAGGGGAATCTGAGAAGCAGGACATCTTGGCTACCCTTCCCTGGGCCTCTTTGAGTAGAAGGGACTGGCACTTAGACCATGGAACACAGTCAATGGATGAAATCTACTAAAAAAAGATGCTAGACTGACTTGGATTCTACTTCAAATACAGGCATCAGTAACCTGACAAGATACGCAGCTGCATTGTGTGATCAACTTACCTTATTCACATCTCAGTTACAAAATAAAATCAAGAGTCTCTTGGTTACCTAATCTAACCAAAGAATGGCTTTGAAAATGAGACAGTTCCCTGATCTGCACTCCCCTCCCCATCTTTTTCCTGTTTTCCCAGAAAACCGCTCCTAGAGACACAGCCACCACAGCTCATGACCCAGAAAGCCGCTCACCTTCATTGGAAAAATCCTGCAGGTTTTTCTTATAGTTCTCCAGCAACTGGATCAAGTGTCCAGTAGAGTCTGTGATGACCTTGCGGATACCGGAGAGTTTATCCTTCAGCCCTATGTAAACGCTAGGGAAGGCAGTGTCTTCGCTGTTCTTAAACTTACAGTATTCCTGCAGAGAACAAATGGCAGAACTCATCATGGGCTCAGTATTTCTTAAACTGGGCCTCCTGTTCTTATTAGGTCACTTCTTGCATCTGAAAAACAGGATGATGATAACATACGCATCACCAAAAAAGGTATATGGCGGGTGTTTGCTCAGAGTCTACCAACATAAAAAGCACTTTGTTGTGCTGTTGGATGTCTTAAAAGAAATTAATCTTAAAAAAAAAAAAAAAGCAAATGAGAACATGGGTTTTTAAAAATCACAAGGTATTAGATGCCCATAAACAGTTCAAATACACATTCCAGGCTTAGGGGCCAAAGAATAAAATCGTTCTAGCCGTGGCAGGCAATGCAAGAGCCAGTGGCAGTATTTTGAAGATTCCCAAGTTAACTCTCAGACAAGAAGGCTGCCTGTTTCATTTGACTCCATCAGACACATGCTTTTCTGCAATTCCTGTATTGCACCTCCAAGTTTGAAAAGTATTTTCACATAGATAATCACATCAAGTCACTTAACATCCAAAACAATGTGGGGATCAGGAAAGACTATTTTCAGAAATAACACATTATCAAGACTCAGATGTAAATGAAGCATCAAAGAGCAGATCAGATAGAGTAGAAAATTTAAGTGATGAAAATGCTCAGACCAAATGCTTATATTCATTAAAAAAAGAAAAATTCCAAACTAGAGAATTGCTAGAAAGATAAACATATTAATATTATAAATACATTTGGTACCATACATTATGAAGCAGCATTTTAAATAAACAGAGGAAAAGATAAATGCTTCTATTGTGATTGGTTTGTAATCTGGAGGAATAATCCCCCACCTCAGCCAGATGGATTTTTTACTCTTTAGGTCAGAGATCTTGGGAACAACTCAAGCCACAGAAGCCAAATTTTTATCCATAGCCTTTGTATCTTTTATTTCAAAGCAAAGGAACAGAGACTGTCCATATTTTTGTCTGTCCGTCTTTGTACATCTCTTTAATTCGCTAAAATGTATTTTTTCCATATTTTTCTCAAAATAAAAAGTTTGTTCCAACTGGAAAGGAATTTTTTTCAAAATTACAAGCAAGAAAAATTATTTATGTTTCAGAATATTGGAACTGGAGAAAGCCCGGCCAGTTCCTCCGACCTACTGCTTTGATAAGTGAGGAGTTTGAGTTTAAGTGATTAAAAAACAAACAAACAGCTATTTAGTGACAGATTCGGGATGACGTAATTCACCTCAACCCTCACCCTAGTGTCCTTCCCAGCGAGATCACATTCTTTGGATCTGGCCCTGCTGGCTTGTCCTTTAATGCGAATAACATCCTGTACTGGGTATTGTGTTCCCTCTGCAGAGCCCGCCTCATAGATCTGCCTGCCTGAAAAGTGGCTGATTCCCACTCTCATCCCAGCCAGGCACCCTGACATGGCTCCAGACTCCTGGAGTACTCTTCCGCACTCACCACTCCCTTATCTAAAATCTTGTCAAGCGCCTGCCTGGCCCTGCTAACCTCATTTCCCATTGTTATGAGCCCAGCATTCCACAATCTATTCTTAGGAAATGCCTTGGATCCCCAAGCCAGCTGCTACCTCTGTGCCTTTGCACATGATATTCCATTAGTCTGACACATACAATATCTTAAGCCTAACACACCTTCCAGGACCTCCCTGGCTTTTGAGCAGCACTTCTCCCTGTCCTGTTTGTTCTCCTGCACTCTGCTGAGTCAAGACCTGCTTCTGTCTGTTCCCACAGCTCCTGTGCACCCTATCGGGAAGGGTAACCCCATTTGTAGTTATATCTCAGGTCTGGAGGAACAAAGTGCTCCACAGTGCAGTGCACGGATCCTTCCTCCTACTGCACCCCACTTCTGTACCTCCAGGAAGAGAACGGTGTTGCTGATGGCTCCCAACCTCTCCAGCTCCTGCCTGCTTTTCTCCATCTCTGCACTCCTGTACTCCAGGTGGGTCTTGATGCCATTGGCCTGGCTCAGAGCAGCTTGTTCCTTTTCCTCCAGGAAGAGCATCACGTCAGCCTGGGCCTTCCTCACAGCAGCCAGGAGTTCCCCGAACTGCTCCTCAGCTGCCACCTTTACCTCCGACACTGACACCTGAGGGTTGAAGGTGGGGTGGGATGGGACGCAGACAAGAATCCGTTAGAGGCCTCTGATTTTATCTAAGCCCAATACACAGAGTCATGAACTTGAAAAGCCTATAAATTAAAGATTAAAAGATCTACTGTAAAGGGAAGCTTTCATTCTCACGTAAACCGTGGGTTCCTGGCGAAAGGTCTTCCTGTCCCAGATACAAGTCCTTTACTAACTAGGAACTTAGTTTGCTTAGTTTCTTCACCCATTTGAGAGAATTATTATATAACTTCTAAGATTCCTTCCAGTTTTGATGGTCTGGGGCTATTAATCAAGGTCCTGAAATTAGTTTTCTCACCAGGGCGATGCCTGTATCTAGTACACGTGGAGTTACATTGCAATAAATAAATTTTTATGCACGTGATAGTAAAAATGGGCTTTCACAGCATTTTATTACACTCAGTTAAGATTACTCAATCAACCTGAGCAAAAAGTGCATCTAAGATTCTAGTGTCTCCACAAGGCACAAAGCTCCTGTAAAATCTTCAGGGTGTGTGTAGACAACACCGCACCCGCGCAAGTGCAGAAAAAATGCAACAAACTATCAAAAAAAACCAGTAAGAAGGATTTGCAGGATGCCACTTGTGCATGTGGAACTTTTTCAGATGCCGAATATCCTTTATGAATGCCTTCAAGCAACATGACATCTGCAACATCAATCCAAGGTCTAAATGATTTCTTCTTCTCTTTGTTGTTTTGTTTTTTGTTTTGTTGTGAGGTTGGGAGTGGTTTAAAAAAGGGTCTCATTATGTAGTTCAGGCTGGCCTTGAACTCACTACACACCCCAGGATGGCCTCAAACTCATGGCAATCCTCCTGCTTCAGCCTCTCAAGTAATGGGATTACCGGCGTGCAACCCCATGCCTGTCTTGTTTGGTGGTTTCTAAGCATGCAGGCAGTTCCCTCTGATAGCGCCCAGTTGCAGTTTACTCTACAAACATGAATTACCTTGTTCAGTTGAATATAAAGGTCTTGGGAACAGTTTCCTTTCCTCTCACTTCCTTTGCTCTGCCGCAAAGCCCAAAGTCCCCTCTCTGCCTGCTTTGGTCTCCCCCGTTGTGCCCACCTACTTTTAAGCCCTTCTGGGATCCTTTCCTTTGCTGTTTTCTGTTCCTTATAACAAAAGTGAGATCAGGTCTAGACAACAGGGTCCAAATGGAGCCTAGACAACAGATATCCTTGCAGCAGGCAGAGACTACAGATACCTATCTCTTCTCTGGGATCCAGGGACAGTAAGACCAGGTCCAAAAAAGAGTCTCATAAGGGAAGGACTCGGAAAGGAAAGTGATGGGAAGTTCAGCTGGGCTTTCGGCCCTTAGAGGCTTGTGGGAAGAACCTTGGAGCTCATCCCACTAAACTAACTCCTTGCTGGGATCAGAGAAGGGACAGGGCTTGGCCCCTTGATCACTGTGGGCACCAAATGAATGGTACACTTGATATCTCTAATGAACTAAATGTACTGTTCCGGCTGCTACTGAGGAGCTGATGGGAAGAAAAAGACACCAGTCCTCCCTAGCAATAACAGAACAGGTTGTTTATATAGATGTTGTCTTCTTCTCTTTACAAACACTGAATTATGAGATAATTAACTTAACTGGACTTAAATCTAATTGTCAAATTAGATTTTCATATTGTAACTATGAGAGAAAAGATGCAGATGGATACCATAGAAGAGATGTCAGTTTTGCTTATTATCTTTGGTGGGAATAGTTATTGGTGTCGTATCTAAGCTCCTTTTACATAACACATTCTAGCTCTCAGGCTCCCTCATCCTTCCTGGCCCATCAGAGTCCAGGTTCCAGGTTCCATGAGGCACAGGGCCCGTGGGGCTCCATGGCCTACCCACTCCTGATCACCGCCACAAAGCAGGAGCAGAACAAGATGGGAACCAGCATGAGGGAGTCTTGGGAAAGGACCAGAAGCCATTTATACTCTATAATTTCAACACGTAGGTCCCTCAGTCAAGCATGACACTATGAGCTAAGAGTCACGAGTTGGAAGATAAAATTCAAGTCCCAAATCTCTCCCCATCTTAACTGAGGCCATCAGGGGACAATGGCCTCTAATGATGTTGGTCGCTTGACTCCTCCTTGACTCTTTCCTAAGCCTTCCCATTGAGAAATACTTCTCTCCTACCCACAAGGTGGAATGGCTGAGGGTATTATTTATTGCTCAATGATTACAAGTAATACTAGAGGAAAGGGAGCCACAAAGTTATCAAAGTAGTCAATAGTTAATTGTTTAAATATATAAGGAGGGCACACATTCCTGTCAATATACTGAGTCATTCTTAGGTCAAGGGAGCAATATTCCAAGGTTTTTGTTCAGTCAATTTAGGGAGACCAAGACAAGTTTTATCATCTCTGTGTCTTCCTATCCTCTGTCATGATGCTACTGTGACAGCTACATCCTCGGGTCCCCCTGTCATTATGAGTAGGAATCAAAGTGCCTGAATTAAACAGCCAGAAAAAGATACGATGCTCAGTGTGATTCTCTAGGTCACACAAAATGTAGAAATCAAAAATCTGAAGGTTTATAAAGCTTTAAAGATACAATTATTTTTCTTCTTTTAATAAGATATTTTAGGTAGGAAATAGTTTTCAGCCTAGTTAGTTATAAGCATAGGAGTAGAAATTAAGTTGAAGCGGATATATGTATTGGATGGATGAATGGATGGATAGATGGATGGATGGATAGATATGTGTGCGTATGTGTCTGTGTGTCCGTGTGAGCCCATTTGTGTTTGTGTGGACATATGAGGGGACACAAGGGCAAATAGATGGACAGATGAGTAGTGAGTGGTGGATGGATGGAGATATGGGTTAATGGATAGGCAGATGGCTGGATGGATGAATGGCCAATGGATAGACAAGTGGAAAAGTAGATGGGCATGTGTGTGTCGGGGTGGACAGCTGGATTCAGTACGGACAAAATGGAGGGTGACTGGGTGGGTAGATGGAATCACCACCTTAGGTACTGACAGTGAATATTTCCCTACTGCTAACTTCCTGCCACAGGGCAGGTGTTTGGCATTCTCTTGGGTTGCAGCCAATGAAAGGTGTTTGTAGAGCTTTGCTTTGGTCTGTTTAGAGTCTGTTTGGAAAGTGCTTACAAACCAGAGACACTAAAGCTAATATAGCTTATCAAGTACTATCCACTAATTCATGAGTTCCAAACTCATTCTGACACACAATATAGAACCAAGTGATAGAAGGAGCCATGATACAGTAATTTGTCTGACTCCATACCACACACACACACACACACACACACTTTTTCTCCTGATTAAGAAAACATAAAAAGCTGGGCATTATGGTGCATGCCTGTAATCCCAGTGCTCAGGAAGCTTATGAAGGAGGATTGCCAGGAGTTTGAGGCTGACCTGTGCTACATAGTTAGTTGAAGGCCACCTTGAGCTACCTAGGGAGACTCTGTCTCAGAAAAAGGGGGAGGAGGAAGCACATACATTCTTATGTGGAAATAAAAATGCTGTTAATCTTGGATTAGTTTGGGCTCTACTGTTTACTACTAAAGAGTAAATCACCAGTTTTAAAACTCAAACCAATTTCATAACAAATCTAGACAGAAAGGTGAAACTATCTCATAATGTACCCAACTGTACCCACAACTGTCACTTGTTAGATATCCCACTGTAGCTGTAACCCACATTCAGTAATCCCAAAGGGGTGTGGCCAGCCCAGCAGCAGCAGCAGCAGCAGCTGGGCGGCAGTCTGGCAGGTGACCCGGACCAGTCTTACCAAAACAGATTTATGGTTGGTTTGGAGCCTTGCAATGGCATTTTCATTCAGTTTGAGTTTCTGCTCGAGGTCCAGTCGTATGCACTGAAGTTCAGCCTAGGAAGCAGAAAGGAAAAAAATTAGGAGATAGCCCAGGGCACAGAGACGGTCACAAGAGCAATGGCACGCTCCACCCTTGAGATCCGTGTCCTCCTTCCCTGAAGAATTTGATATGTAATACTGACCTCAAAAGCCACCCCAGAGGTGCAAAGTTTTGGGTGTACGCTAGCACCCTCTAGGGAGTGACCTCAGCATGAATCAGCTAAAATACACTGAGCACTTAGTGACTCTTGCTTTCAATATTTATATGGACTCTACCCACATAAGGGCAAAAATGCTTCTTTTTTGCAGATGGAAAAAAAAACTGAGTCATTTTTCAAGGATGACAGCTCATCAAGCAGAATTGAACCTACACTTGCTGACCCAGAATATCCTAATGAGTGTGGCTCAGAGCCAATCAGGTGGGAGCCCCAAATTTTTACTTAGCAGGTAAAATTTCAGATAAATTTATATAGAAAAAAACTTATTTTTCTTACTCACATTCAACATAGAACATTTTATAACTAACATATGTTAGCTTCCCACCTCTCCACCACCCCCACCCCCCACCTGCAATAGCAAAAAGCTGTCTGACATCAGTTGGGTGTCCTAGAGTTCAACTCAGTTCTAATATTATCTACCAAGGGCTAGTGTGAGATTCACAAGTTAAAGATTCAGCCCACAAGACTGCACTCACCTTCAACACTTGATGCCAACTCAAAGTCTAGGTAATCACTGGGACCCTTTACCAACTGTTATCTGTTATCTTGTGCTGCCCGCTTGACCTAATTACACTTCTACCCTACTCTAATCTCATTTGTCTTTGAGGGTATAAAATCCTTGAAAACCAGAAGTCCCTCCTTTGGTGGGTTGGCCAAAACTGTTTAGATCTAAGACAATTGCCAGAGTGACCACCAGACAACCTCTAAGTTCATTAGAATCCAGTTTGCACATGGGTAAATGACTCATGCAAAGAGTAAACCAGTGCCAGGACAGTTGACGGGTGCCATGAGAGTGACCGCCCCAAAAAACTATGAGAACAGCAGAGAGGCAGCACCTGAATTCGGAGAAAAATCTCTGCCCATTTCCACAACAGATGTGAATGTTTCTCCCCTTTTTAGCCTTATTTCCCCTTATTTCTTTTAACTTATATCTATAATCTCCTCACCCCCAACCAGACGGAAAGTTGATTTCCAAGTTTCCAATCTCTCATTTGTTTACTTATTCTATTTCTGGCCAGGAATCAAAGTGTTCTTCGCTGTTCAAATGAAGTGCAGTCTCGTTACTTGTTCCATAATTCCAAAAGGAAAAAAGGACTCAGTTTGGGGTTAGAAATTGGTAACATAACCAGTTATAAATTCAAGATTGCCGGCACCCTCTCCTCATCTTACTTCATAGCTTAATATCTTTAAATGTCCATTTGTTTCCCTCGGAAATGAAGACAAATAGTGCCTACTTCCAAAAGACACAGATAATGAGTTAAATGAAATAATGCATGTTACCAGGAACTTTGGTTAGTTCCATGCGTGTTGTAAGCCCACCACAAATGTCAGTGATTGTCCTTGATGTCATCCTTATCATTATTACACACACATTATTATTCTTTTCATTTATACACAGTACATGCTTCTAAAAGTAGGCAGAGCCAACTCCCCCCACTCCCCAACCAAGCCCTCTCTTCCACCCCAGCCAAAACCAGTCCCTGCCAGAACCCTGGGTTTGCCTACCCTGACCCCTTCTGCCAAGGCCGCCTGGTTGCAAACCTGAGTCTGCCAACATCAAAGGCCTGTCACTTCCCTGCTTCTACAAGGGCAGGAGGTAACAGAAATAATAGTAATAATAGGTACAGAAAATAAATAGCCTCTGTGTGCATTTAAAACTGAGTCATATGCTCCAGCAGAGATCAAAGGCATACATCACCTGGCTATCCTTCCATGGAAAAGCCTGAAACCTCTCCCGCCCACGCTCCAGTGAGGGGCAGTCACCTCATAAGGACACTCTGAAGAAGGCAGATCACCTTTTATCAGGCTCCACATCACTGATGTGGGGCTGAAGGAGCCCCAGTGACACCTCTTCCCTGCCACATGAAATCTGATGCTAAGGGGTGTAGGGCAAAAAGTGGGGAGAAGGAGGGAATGAGAGTTGTCTAGTTTATTCAAGAATAATCTAGAATTCTACACTGTACAATGGACCAATCTGGGGGGATTGAGGAGAACATGAATTACTCATCTGAGGGTGTTGGAAGCCACAGCAGAACACCTTAGCCACAGGCATAAGTAAAGTGGCCCTGAGACATCACTGACAGGAGAATGAATCAAAGCTGTCATCCCTGGCCAGCCTCCAGAGTGATACCCAGAGTACCCAGCAAGGGGGCTTCTCTCCTCTGTCTGTGAACTACCATAAAAGGAGAAAAGGATTTCTGCACACAGCATGAGCATTTCTCTGAGTGAATCACCCTAAGGGAAGGCACTCCCAATCAGTACAAAAGGTGGAGGCACTCTGGAATCTTGTATCTCCAGCTTTTCCTGTTACTAGAAAATGATGGGTTGTCTCAGACCCTGGTTTCAAAATTTCCCAAGAAATGTGCCCTGCACACACCCAAGGCCAGGGCGGGCTCTGCCCAAGAGCAAGCCAGGGATGCCTGTGAACGCACACTGCTTTCTAGCAACTAAGTGTACAACTGCTTCAGTAAGATAGTGATAAATGTTGTGCAAAAGGCACAGTATTGAAAAAAAGAAAAAAGGCACAGTATTTTGAATCTGTCCAGCTGTGTGATCTTGTCAGATCATTTAGCTTCTCCTCCGGTGCAGGGCCACATTAATACATTGACAGAATCCTTCCTTTGTCTGTCAACAGTGCAAAAGTCTCACCCAAATCATATTATCCAGGAGTGGTTTAGAGATGCAGGATAAAACCAGCAGAGGAAATAAGAAGAGTCCAGATAGTGTCAATTCTCTTCTATTTCTGGCCGCTCCTGTTGAGCGGGCTGGACGTTCTGCCTTTGGTGTCACCTGGATGCTGACTCCATTCCTCTATCAGTTACTTATGACCTACTGCCAGCCAGCCCAAAGGCGGAACTCACTGCTCTTAGAAGACTTACAGCCTTGGCGACTGTTCACCCAAAAAAACTACATATTACTGAACCCAGAAGATTCCTTTGAAGTTGTGGAAGAAACCTTTGCTCCAAGTGGCGACATAATATCACCCCTATTGGCTGCCAGCAAAGACTGCAAACAATGCTCGTTAATAGATGTCCAGAAAAGCAAACTTTTAGCTCTCAGATGCTTCCTTCTTGCTCTACAAGGAGACTGTGCTGCAGTAATCATCCAGCCCTGCCCTTTCTGTAACCAATGCTAAGAATGAAAATAGTGGCCTGGCACTAGCGGTTCCCAAAGACAAGGTTCAGCTCAGGTCTTTCTTCTTCCAAGAACCCTGTCCTGCTCTCACTCAAGTTCTCCATGGAGCCACAGTGTGTGCCTTGGCTTCCCGATTAGAGCCCAAGCTCCAGGAGGTCAGATAGTATAGCCCAGCACTTAGCTCACTCCATATGGATGTACTCCATAATATGTCAGAAGCCTGGGAACATAAAGGAACCCATACACACACACACACACACACACACACACACAGCTTGAGATTCAGAGAACATGACAGAACTTATCAGGCTGCAGCCAAAACCCACTCTCTTAAGACCAAGGGGGTCTCAGGAAGCTGATCTAGAGCAAAGCTAAGTGCTGAGGTCCCTGTTAGGAACATTCGGCTGGCTGAGAAGTTCAGTAGAGAGAATGAATAATCACAAAACACACACTTCTCAAAGCCCCAGTCTTTGCTCACTGGACCAGCTGGTGGGAACCTCGGGAGCTTCAAAAAGGGTTCCCTTGGTTAACTGGAAAACATTATTCTATGAACCTGCCTGCAGCAAGGCTATCCCAATATTAAAGGGCTAGCAGACATAGAAGGAATTGAGAGTTTTAAAAAGGTAGGAAATTAAGAGAGAGACCAGAAAATGAAAAGCTGCTCCACACACAATGACATCAAGAGTCCAGGTCCCTGCCTATCTTACAAGCTATATACTTGTGTCCTTTTGTGTGTCAATCCAGGATTTCTGTATACAACATACTACCCCAACTTATGCTAAACTATCAAAATTAAAAGCCATGTTCCTATGCCATGGTGATTGTCTGACAGACAGCACAAGCACCTGTAGAGTCAGTAACAAATTAACTGTTCTATGTCCTTCCAACTGACCCTGACACTTGCAATTTCTTGTATACAACATGCCTGCCTGAGTTATTAACTCTCACCACCTCCACAATGACCTTCAACAGGCAACTGCAGGAGGCTTGAGCTAGTTGTAAGTGATACAAGTCTTCCGGAGACTTAGTCAGATCCTATAATCCTTTCAAAACAATCCTGGGGGAGCAGGTCACTTCATCAAGATACTGTGTCTTCTGGGCTGGGTGTCTGGATTCCTTGTAAGAAACATTTTGGCTCCTAGTAGTTGGTAGATCTGCTGAGTGTGTGGCTGTGCTTCCAGAGCACACTTAGCTTAAAATAAGGCCAATGGGCTAGAAGGAAAAAATGATCTCTGAAGCAGCCCAGAAAGCAGAGGAGTCCGCACTATGGGCTGCAGCATCGCACCTGGGGCCATGATTGTTTTTCAGCACAAAAACTGCCCAAGAGTCCCTCACTCAGCTGTCCCTGTTTTGACTTGCACGGGTCTCTGCAGGGATGTCTGTGTTTGGAGCTCTACATGTGCCTTACACAGCTCCTTCTATTGAAGTCACAATCACCGTTAGTTTCTGTGTTATGTTAGGTGCCTACCGTTTGTCATTTTTATTTTATGTCTGTGCTTATGGCTTGTGTTTAAATGTTTCCGCAAAGCCTCATATGGTCACAGGTGGGGCTTTTTCAGAGTTGGCTGGATCTACATTGCATGACACTGGAAGTGATTTATGCTCCAATGTAGGATTAAGGGTATGAGTGCGACCTACTTTAAGTACCCTGGATAAGATATAAGGGGTCATCCTCTGCCTCTTTGGCTACCTTTTGCCGGCCTATCTTCCTTCTACAATGCCTGCCTGCCATGCCACCCTGCCTTGGACCCACCCAGTTATGGACCAAAACCTCTACAAACTGTGAGCTAAATAAACCTTTCCCTATTTAACTGTGGGTGTTGAGTATTTTGTCTCAGCAACAAGTGAAAAGTAACCAATCTGGCTGATGCCAGATAGAATATTTCAAAAATAAACTAGAAAGGATAGATAGTGTTAGCCACTGATGAGAAGAAAGGCACCCCGAGACCTGGGGTGGGTCTATTGAAATTTATTAAATCAGTTGGAGATTTTTAAAAACATCTTCATGTACCATTTTTCCATTTAAAAAAAATAAATTTCAGATATTTTACCTAAAGGGAAGAGTACTATAATATACTTTATTTCAATATCTTTAGTATATTTATGGTAGGATTTTTTGTGCAAAAACATTGTTTTAAAAGTAAAGTTATAATGTTCCCTTCAACTGGATGACTTTCTAGAAGTTTCCATGCCTTGCTCCATGATTTGGTCCATTGTATGAGCTTGGATAAAGGTGACAGAGATAATAAAAATCCTCATCTCATTATTATTGATGATTGAACAAAACATTTTGTTCATGGACATGCTTAATGAGGGCTATTTTCCCCAATTCTGTGGAACACTTACTTTCCATGTTTGCATTGTTGATCACCTCTGCTGACAGGACATCCCCTGACATGGGAAACACTGGAAACAGTTAACAACTGACTTCCTGGGCTGGAAATGGTGACTCACAGGCATCTAAAAACAAAGCTTTCCAGAACATCTCCCACCCATACTGGACAGAATCAGTGCTTAGGGATAAAAATATTGGATGTTCCCTAGGAACTCCATTTTTCCAGAAACTTCTTTCCCTCTTTCTAGAAACTTCTTTCCTTTCCAGAAACTTCTTTCCTTCCATCTAAGAGCATTTGCCAAGCAATTGCTGTCAACCTACCAGCCACATGCAACACAAAAAGGAAGCTGCTGAAATATGACTACAAGAAATGTGGGACAAAACTCACATGCAGTTCTCTACTGGAAAGAAAAGGTGCTCATGGGAAGTCAAAGTAGGACAAACAAAACATAAAATTTTAAATTACTTCCCCTCTTCTAAACTCTCAGCTTTAGGGCAAAGAAAAGCTTGCTTTTCCAGAAATCATTTTCTTATCTGATGGAAGTAAAATTGCAGGTTCTGAACTTGATATTTCTCAGTCTCTTCAGCTACCTCCACCTAGTAAAGAACTTTTATTTTCCTCTAAGTTAAGCCATGCTTGACATTATACCTGAACACAGGTTTCAAATTCTATGTTATCTTAGCATTTTCAAGCTCTTAGATTTCACACCAGCTATCCCTGTGGGGCCTCTGGGATAAAGGAAATTAAAGAAAAGGCCTTTTCTTCTCTGAATTTCTGCCAAGCTTTGCATTTCGTCATTTAATAGTGGATATACCACCCAGATTCCACCAGAGGGAAATATCCTACAACTTCTGCATTCCACATCCAAACATACATTTCCAAAAGTGATACGAGAAATAGCAGGAAAACTTGGAGGCAGGAGCAGAGAGACAGACAGAATCCCACAGCAACGGCAGAATCAAGATGAGACAGTGACCTATTTCAGTTTCTTAAGTCAATGTCAATAAATATTTATGCTGGGTGAATGGCCAGTGCAGGGGCTAACATCTTTACCTGTGCACTCAAAGCACAGACAGAATAGCAGAGTCAGGAGCTGTGGCGTGGCTGACCTCTCCCTGGGAGCACCATCTGCCACTGAACTCTCCCAGACAGACGGACCCAAGCACTCACCTCCTTGTGCCTTCGGGCTGCCTCCAGGGAGATAGCAGCGTGGCCCTTGTGCTTGTCCTGGGCACATTCCTGGCAGATACACTGCTGATCTGTGCAGCAAAAGGCAACCAGCGAGTTGTGGTGGTCAGGGCAGGTACGCAGGTCTCTGTCCTTCACCGGCTCGGTCAGCTGATGGCTGTGCAGTTTGCTGTTCTCCTGGTGCGGCCGAAGGTGCTCCTCACAGTAATTCACCATGCAGGTCAGACAGGATTTCACTGCTTTCACCTTGCTGCCCCCGAGGCAAAAGTCACACAAGATCTCCTCCTCCCCATCACCACCAGAAGCCCCAGGCTCAGCTGGGCCACCACCCTGTCCCTCTGTTGTCTCTTCCACAGGTCTACCCACAGCCTCTTCTTCTGCTGGGCTGGCTGAGTCTGGGCTAAGAGGGCCTAGAGAATGAAGAGTGTCCCCCAGCAATGGCCCTGGGGCCATTAGATCCAACTCAGCCATCTGGGACGCACTGCCACCCTAGCCGTCCTTCCTCTGTCCCTTGGCCCAAGATCTGTGCAGCCCAAGTCAGACCAGCGAACCACGCCCAGATGACTGCAGCTGCCCTGAGACTTTAACTGTTTCCTCTCTTGGGAAGGAAGCTCAGTTACTCCTGACTCTGCTCAGGGCTTGGATAGCAGCCAGCTGCTGTGACGGAGTGGTTGGATTACTCCGGCTCAGAACTATCACTCAGAAGTCTCCTCGCCAGCTCAGGCTCCTCCTCAGGCCCAGCCCTGCCCTGAAACTTCTATTCTTACGTGAATTATTCATCCCCCATTGGCTCTCCAGAAGACCATGTGTATCTGTGGCTGCTCCGGAATGAATTTAACATTCCTGAGCTCTGCTGTAAGCCTGTGTGGCTTTGTCTGTTCTCATAAGCTGAATTTTTCTGTTTACATTTTAAAAGAGATCTAAAGCAGAAGGACTTCCGCAATAGAACTGCCATTTATCTCTTCTCATCTAGACAGAAGCAACTAATAAAACCAAGAGGGAACAACCTCTCACTTATGCTGGACAGGTAGCTTGGTGGCAGGATACTCACTCACCTTGTGGAAGGTCCTGAGTTCAATCCCCACCACCACCTCAACAACAACAACAAAACCCTCTGGTTTCACTTGCTGTGAATTACTTAATGACAAAAATCACTAATTGTAGAGTTCACTCAATTGGGCGGTGTATGATGAGTCTTCTGCTAACTGCTATAAGTAATACTTCTAACAGGTTTTATGATAATAACAGCAGCCTGGATTAACTTTCAGGGAAGAGAAGTCCATTTTTGTTAAAATCATTAGCTCTTCACTGTGCAGGAATCCAAAGGATCTGTAGAGTCTGCATCCCATGAAGAGTCATACAATTGATTATGAAGGCACAGACCACTGATGACTTCCCCTCCAGTACCCTTTCTGTATACCTCACATTGCCCTGTTTCTTTATTCTATAACTATCCCAAACTATATCCTTAGGGGAGCAGATTTGAGACCTGAATCTCCCTCTCCATGCTCAGCCACCTTGCAAAGAAACCTTTTTTTGTAAAACTGGTTGTTTCAGGGGCTGGGGATTTTTTTTGTAAAACTGGTTGTTTCAGGGGCTGCGTGGTCGTGAGTTCAATCCCCAGTACCAATAAAAAAAAACAGTTGTTTCAGTAACTGGCAGTGGACAACATAGACCCATTTCAGTAACATTAGCAGGCTTCCATATCACTTTGTGTATTCCCAGAGACAGACTATTCGTGGATATTCTGTGGGGATCGGGTAGGTTAGGGAAGACTTTGTCACCTTTCACAGATGGACTCACTCAATCAGCCTACAGGCTACACATTCTGCCTTGTGGTCCCCAGACAGGAACATGTCCTAAGAAATAGCCTCACTGCCTGCATAATAAAATGTTTCTAGATATGGCATATTAATTTCTTCAGGCTGCCATAACACATTACTAGTGACTGGTTGGTTTTACCAACAGAAATTGATTTCCTCACAGTTCTGAAGACTGGAAGCTGATGAGAGTTGGTTTCTTTCGAGCCTCTTTCTTTGGTTTATAGGGAGCTTCTCCAGTGTCTTCACACAAGTTTCCCTCTGTCCATATCGATGTCCTAATTGCCTTTTCTTACAGAGACACCAGTGAGACTAGATTAGAATTCACCGTAATAATTTCATTTTACCTTACATGTTTAAACACACTCATATCCTGAAGTCCTGGTAGCTAGGCCATCAACATATTAACTGGAGGAAGGGGAAAGGAGGAAGAGACCACAATTCATCTCATTAAAATATGGCCAGGGATAAGATGGGAAGCTTCAAGTTCATTGGAAGGTGCTGCTGCCCAGGCCCATTGGATGGGGGTATGCAGTAGACTTAAAGTCTGCTCAAGAGGGAGAAAGAAATCCCAGGATTATCTCAGGGGATCAGGACTTCAGTGGGATGAAAAAGCCAAGGCGGAGATGGGAAGACTTGGTCCAACTAGCTTCAGAGGTTCAGGGTTAGGACAATTCTAAAATGCTATATACTCTATGGCTTTGTCTCTCTAAGGTGAGTGAATTCTGTAGGATTAAGCTAGATAAACTCAGGGAAATTTCTTGTCACTGATTAAAACAAGTCTACCACTCAGAGTTTGAGGTCATGGAAAACTTTAAAAATTCATCCCACATGAAACCTTTTTATTTTAAATCATGCATACCCACATCATGATTGCCTAGAATTAGGATTTTTTTTTCTTCTAGTAGTGAAGATTGAATCCAGAGCCTTAGCACTTAGCTACTTCTCCAGCCCTAAATTACTGAGCTCAAACTTGTGATCTTCCTGTCTCAGCCTTCCAGTAGTCTGGGATTATAGATGTGGGCCACCACAAACCAGCTGAAGCAGTTTATTTTAGCAATTTAAAATTGTCTCAATGTACTGGGCCTGGCTGTTCCCTTCTTCTACTGAAGGGAAGGGATTTCCGGGTATTTAATCTCATGGTTTGTACATCTCCAGCCAAAAGGGAAATGAGCAGGTTTACCTAGTCTAGACCATTCTTGGAGATTTCTCGAATGTTAATGGACAGGTTTGCTTCCCTTTAAACCCTTCTTCAGAATGACCTACTGGTAGCTGAACTGGCCTGCCCACATGCCGCAGGGCTTGGTCTTTGTGGAAAAAACAAAAAGGGAAGTTGACTTCCTTGTCCAGCTCACCCCACCACCTTGAGAGTAGATTAGAAAGTATCCAGTCTGCCTGTATTTCCATATGACTACTCACCATCTCTCAACCTTTCTCTCACCATATCATTTCCACCCTTTCTTCTCTTACAGATTATTTCCATGCGCCCCTTTTTCTGTGGTTAAACCTTTAGTGCGGTTTATGAGCAAGGCTCATAAAGCAAAGCCCACTGGAGGCCTAAGTGAACAGACAGTTCTTCACATTTCTCCATAATGACGGAAGAAATAGGAAATCTGAATTGTGGCCCTACTTGGCCCCATTTGTCCTGTCTTAACCTCAGTGATATTATCCGTGAAATGTGCATGGTGTCTTAAGTGAAATCTGGCCAACAGATTTCTGGGGATGTCAGAGTCATTTTTCTTTGACACTAGGACACAACACTTGATACCTGCAACTTGAAAGAAGTGAATTTTATTTTGGCTCGTGTTTTAGAAGCTTCAGTCCTTGCATTGTAGGCTCCAGGCAAAAGCAACATGGTGGACAGATCTGGACAGAAATAAACTGCTCACACATGGCAACCAGGAAGCAGAGAGGAAAGGGTAAAGCCAGACCTTTCTAGGCTACCCGAGTATGTCTCTTACAACTAGGTCTCATCTCCTAACAGCAAGTCAGCTATATCACTCTGCAATCCAGTTCTTATGGATTAAGAACTGGTGGTCAACTTAACACCAGCTGGATTACATCAGCATGGCACTGAGCGAAAATGCCCCACCTGAGGAAAGTTTCCAGCATAAATAGGCGGAGAAGGAGAAGGAGGATGTTAAGGCATTGAGGCGTTAATGTGTTGAGGCATAGTGGGATTGTGGGTTCTCCTACATGTTGCCGTTTGAGCCGTTAGGTTCTCTTGGAGAAGCTTTGGTCCTCACATTGAGCATTACTTCCTGGCTCCGGAGGGGAAGACGTGTGCCGCTTGGTCTCCAGGATGAACTTGTCATACTGGCTTCCTGGCATGCACCCGACTGTGCTTGTGTCAGAGGAGCTCGGGGCCTCTGTATTGCCGAGGATGGCTGTGGTGCCTTTTAGGATAGCCCTGGTCTTTATTGAGAGTGTGACTTCTCAGCTCCAGCATACAACCCTCATCCCACCAGCACAGCTCCTTCACCCTGCTGGCATGGACTTTCTGGTTTCTACAACTGACCTTTGGGCCTTTCTGACACTGATCCATAAAAGAGACTAGTGTGAGTCCTTCTTGTGGGCTCTGGATCTCCAGTTGGACTTGTGGGAGGCATTGTCATGAGCTCTGGGTTTTCATCTGGACTCATCTGGGACATTGCTGTGGGACTCAGGCCCTTGGTTAAATATTCTATGTCTTTGGTATTGTGGATAGATTTCCTGCATTTTCTTATGTTAACTCCCAGTGACCATTATAAAAGTAATATTATAACTCCATGTCCTGATTCTAATTGTTCTCTGTGTACAACCCCTGACTACAACTCCAGTCATTTCAAAAGCTCCACCTTTGAGCCCATGAGACTTTGGGGAAACATCTATGTCTAATGCATAACAGAGGAGTAGTGTTGAGGAAAGGTCTAAGTTTATGTCTAAGCTTACTAGAGAAAGCCATCATGTTTGAGCTATGATAGTCAGTGTGGGGGTAAGACAAAGGGTAGTGACCCAAGGAGGCCCAGTGCCAGCCCTCCAAGAATAAGAACTGACCACAATGTCTAAATCTCCATTGCCTATGGTATCCATTGCTGATTTCTTTATCATTATGCTGCGAAACCCAGTAATGCTTTCATTCTTTCTTTAGAGTGGTTTTAGTCTGTTTTGTATTATTTGATTTCAACATACATGAAGGTATGGACAGCTGTTTTGAAGAGAACAAGAGACATTAGGTTAGCCATTGTTGATTTTCCTATTGTCTGGTTTTTAATACCTTCGTTACTCTGTTATGATCAATTTAATACTATTTTGTTTCATATGAATTCATTGTGTGTGAAGATGTAGACAACTATTTAGAAGAAAACAAGAGACATTTTTAGCCACCAGTGATCTCCTGTTGTCTTGCTTTGAAATCCTGTGTCACTTGCATTGTTTTCTTATGATCTGCTTTGTTCTGTTGTGTTATATTTTGTTTTACCCTCTTTAAAATAGAAATAAATCTCCACTGCCAACACTCAAAGCACAATCTCTTGAGTTCACTGCTAGTTCCTGTTTCTGGTTTTACTTCCAGGGACTGCAACATATTTCATAAAGCTTCAACAACTTAGCACCGGAGACTGAGCCTACAGTCACACGATTCTCCTACATTTGCATTCTCTATTGAACCAAGTGCTCCACAATGACTTCACTCCTTTCCCTCTGGCCTTGGAGAATTGTAACATTTTAGGTCTCTTCTTGACAGTTTCCTTGGCCTTCTTGCCTTAACTGAAACTTGAATGTCCCCTGAAGTCACTGTTTCTGCTCCCACCTCTCAACTGGCATGACGCCTGCAGTGAGTCCCCAAATTCCTGCAAGACGTTACAGGGCACGGTGAAAAGAAAGAGCAAGAGACAGATGGCCTTG